GGGAACTAGTACTCCACGTGATGCCCCTCATAACGCCACCTGTGAGGGAGTTACTACACTACGTGTCTGCTGTTCAACACCTCAGCTCACGTGATCTACGTGTGTAAACATTAATCTGTATGTTCACTGTATGTTCCTTCACCTTCCTCTAATGAAGGCTTTTGTTAAACCACCAATGTATGTAATAAGTCATTTATGTCCAATGTATACTTTCAGCCTTCGGGCTGCAAACTTTTTCAATAAACCGTTTATTATTATTATTATTAATATTTACACACACATACACACACACACACACACACACACACACACACACACACACACACACACACAACCACAGTAATTAAAACAGTAAAACAAAAACTGATCAAGTGCATTAACCTGTAATATCGAACAATCAGAATGTGAGGTAAAAAGGCCAGGTATGATCCCGTTCATATTAGCAATAATTACAACACCTGTCTGGTACAATATCATTAAAATGTATTATAAAGAGATTTACCGCCGCTCAGTTTATATTAGGGATCACTTTTTTATACAACACCCGTTTGTTTGTTTACATAAAAGTGTTGTTATATGTTACCTGCACAAAGCTATATTAGAGGGAGTCAATTACACCTGTGGATATTGTATTATGGTTGATGAATACCTGTAATACTGTAGTAAGAGTAGTCAGACAGACAGACAGACAGATACTTTTGTCCTGGGTCAAGATCATCAAGACTCAGGTTGTAACATGCACTCCGCAGACTGCACCTGCTGACATTACAACATAATGCAACATTTGGCACTATGATGCATTAAGCTGACTTAGTGGAAGGGAGGGAGGGAGGGTAGGAGGCGTGACTTAGGTCGATGGATGTGGGGGAGAGGAGAGGAGGGAAGAAGGCAAGAAGAGGAGAGGAGAAAGAATCGTAAGAGGAAAGGACAGGAGGGAGAATATTTTATTTACTCCCATGCTGTAAGAATGCCCTCCTTTTATCCTTCCTTCCCTTCCCATCCTTTCGTCTTTCCCATCCTCAACGTTCCTTCACTCTTCCTTCCTTCTCTTTCTCTTCATTACGACACCCTTCTCTCCCTCCCTCCCCCCCACCCCACACCTTCAGATTATTCTCGCCTGCCTGGAGGGAGTAGCGTAGATCATATGACTAGGATTTAACGTGACGTTCACAAGTATCCAGGTGATGTGTGGCACTGAGGGAGACGAAGCACTCTGGCCACTCTGTCAGGTGTGTGTAGGAGTCATTGTGTGGCACTGAGGGAGACGAGGCACTCTGGCCACTCTGTCAGGTGTGTGTAGGAGTCATTGTGTGGCACTGAGGGAGACGAGGCACTCTGGCCCCTCTGTCAGGTGTGTGTAGGAGTCATTGTGTGGCGCTGAGGTCTCTCTGTCAGGTGTGTGGAGGGGCTGTGTGGCACTGAGGGAGACGAGGCACTCTGGCCCCTCTGTCAGGTGTGTGTAGGAGTCATTGTGTGGCACTGAGGGAGACGAGGCACTCTGGCCCCTCTGTCAGGTGTGTGTAGGAGTCATTGTGTGGCACTGAGGGAGACGAGGCACTTGGCCCCTCTGTCAGGTGTGTGTAGGAGTCATTGTGTGGCACTGAGAGAGACGAGGCACTCTGGTCTCTCTGTCAGGTGTGTGTAGGAGTCATTGTGTGGCACTGAGAGAGACGAGGCACTCTGGTCTCTCTGTCAGGTGTGTGTAGGAGTCATTGTGTGGCGCTGAGGGAGACGAGGCACTCTGGCCCCTCTGTCAGGTGTGTGTAGGAGTCATTGTGTGGCACTGAGGGAGACGAGGCACTCTGGTCTCTCTGTCAGGTGTGTGTAGGAGTCATTGCCGTGTTAATAATGAGAACAATTGATAGATGACCCTCGTTACTCTCATCTGCCACACACCTTGATGGATGACGAGGGATGAAGTGGTCGGAGGTGTGAGTGTTGGTCCTCGTCTGTCACTGTGAAGACCGACGGCTTGATAGATCATGTTTGTTAATGTGACTAATACTGTGTTGTATGAGGTACTTACACACACACACACACACATACACACATACACACACACACACACACACACACACACACACACACACACATACACACACACACACACACACACACATACACACACACACACACACACACACACACACACACACACACACATACACACACATACACACACACACACACACACACACACACACACACACACACACACACACACACACACACACACACATACACACACACACACACACACACACACACACACACACACACACACACACACACACACACACACACACACACACACACACACACACACACACACACACACACACACACACACACACACACACACACACACACACACACACACACACACACACACACACACATACACTACTCTGTGCCATTTAACGCTGTAGAAGATTACTCTTACACTTTGTCAACGAAACATACTTTTTTCTGTCTGTCATAACTCTATTAATTTTAAAACTACCATTTGTCAGGTCTTAGTGTGTGTGTGTGTGTGTGTGTGTGTGTGTGTGTGTGTGTGTAAACAACCATGCATCTAATCTCTACTTCCTTATCTAATAAGCATCAAAAGACCATAAATCACTCACAAACAACACCGATTACATTACCCTCTCTCCTTAACTCTCGACAGGTGACAGGTGACAGGTGACAGGCACAATCCAATTAGTGTGAACAGGTGGTAAATTAAGAGGATTATTTTGTCTTAAAGTTGTTCAGGTTTTGCAGGATAGATGACGCTTTCATTAGATAGAGAGCTGGTAGTTATTGTGAAGGTGAGGACCCCCAAGTTAAATGGGTCCTTGCAACATTGATGATCTGTTGGACGAGATGTAATGGATAAAATTGGTTGGTGACTTAAATAAATTAGGGTAGTGGAGGAGTGAAAGAGGAGGGGCGGCGGAAGGGAGAAGAACTCAGACGGAAGGGGGGAGAAAGAAAGAAAGGGGAGAACCTGGTAATGAATGAAACAAAACACACACTCACACCCCTCCCCACACCTACACACACACACACACACACTCACACCCCTCCCCACACCTACACACACACACAGAACCAAAACACATTTACCCCACACGACAAAAAACCTAACCAAACATAACCTTTACCACTCTTTGGCCAAACTCGAACGCGTTATGAGTTTTAGTATCTGAGAGGGACGACAACAAGAACGATCAGAACACAACACGAGGGAGAAGTTGAGCCATCAGTGGTAGTGAAGTTGTCTTGGGATGGTCGTGGCAGCCTGGGCGAAATGGTAGCCGGAATAGTTGTGGAGGTCGTAGGTTAGATTGGTAGAGACGACTCCTTCTTGAATCACACTCCCAGGTCGTCTGAACCACTACTTGACCCCTTCAACTACTACTATTACTACTACTGATTCTGTCTGTCTCTTTGAACGACTACGACTACCCTACCTTCATCGACGACTCTTGCCCCTTTGAACGACTCCTGATCCCTTGAACGATTAAATTATGTTAAGTTAGGTCTGGTTAATTTAGGTTAAATTAGGTTAGAATATATAGAGAATCATGAACATAATATCTAAATTTTAATAACTTAAACTTTTAAATTACAGGTACACATCTCCCACGACTTTTAATATACACACAACTAATATTTACACGAAAATCCAATATTATGTTTTTACAGTCGTCGGTGTATTCTGAGTTCGAGTTTGTTGGTACGAGTATGCTGAGTACAGTATATACTTGTTTTATTATTTACAGGTTAAAAAAAGGAAATTGCATGAACAAATCAACAGTGTCCATTATTAAGAGGGAGATGGTGTTGACCAAGTGATTTATTTAGGGGTTGGGTTTATTACTAGATGGAGGAGAACAGTGACGAAAACTCAACCCTTATTGATGATGAGTGGAATCACCTGAACATTAGGCACCCAAGCTTGGTTAAGTTAGGTTAGGAGAGTTACTATACAATTCCTCCTACATCACCTCACTACGAGTCAACAAAAGCCACTCTGTAGTCTTGTAGTTTACGTATGAATGAATAAACTAAACAAATACAATATTCGTCAATATCACGTCTGGCAGGTTAAGAAGCTATACATATTATAATAACATCTGTCTTGGCTGGTAGGACTGAAGCAACAACAGCGAGTAAATCGATGTACTGTACACTGGACCGATCTGATCCCTGCATAAATAATGAACGTAATCTGGTGGTATGGTTCTCCCTTTGTCTACACACACACACACACACACACACACACACACACACACACACACACACACACACACACACACTGTCTCTCTCTATATGTGTCTCTCTCTCTCACACTCACACGTTCCCTCTCTCACACACGTTCTCTCTGCCTGTCTCTCTCTCTCTCTCCCCCATGTCAACAGAGTCAGCGGCTGGCACCAATAATGGCCCAACATAATGCAGTTACACACTTCTGTCTATTTCCTGCGCTGCAAGTTGATTACTGTCATTTTAATTGGCCAGATTATTGAGGCGAGAATTATTGTTCCATTCTCGTGTTTTACTGTAAATTGAGGATAAATTCACCATGCAAGTGTTATTTCTCTTTAATATATGTAAGCTGGTAATTGGACTGAATTATTATGTATGTTTGTATGTGGTGGGGATATAGGTATAGTGTAAATGATTTTTGTCTGTTTGTTTGTTTGTACTGTATGTGTCTCTGTATGTTTATGTAATTATCCATCAGAATATATGTTGTTTTACCTAATTGTTTTTATTTAATTAAACCTCGTCATAATATCTGCCTAAACTAATTATTTTTCTGATCCTTAATTATTCTCCATCACAACACCTGTCCTTACACAATTAATCCCCGCCATAATTCCTGTCTAACCTAATTAATTCCTCGTTCCTTAATTATTCCCCGCTACAACACCTGTCCTTACACAATTAATCCCCGTCACCACACCTGTCTAGTATGCTCACCTAACAGCTGTTCTCGTCCCTTACAGATGTTGGGGTCAGCCTGGGGTGGAACTGGGAGATGTGGTGGACCTACGACGGTATCTCAGGTGAGCTCACCTGCCTTTACCTGGAATTGTTATGGATAGAAAATACGATTAAATTTGTTGTCTTAGGTATACGATTAATTATGTTATAGGCATACGATTAATTATGCTATAGGCATACGATTAATTATGTTATAGGCATACGATTAATTATGTTATAGGCATACGATTAATTATATTGTTATAAGCATACGATTAATTATGTTATAGGCATACGATTAATTATGTTATAGGCATACGATTAATTATGTTATAGGCATACGATTAATTATATTGTTATAAGCATACGATTAGACGTGTTGCTATAGGAATATTTCGTTTATTTTCAGCTGAAAATTTGGGAAAATTAAGGAAAATGTGGGATTTTTTCTTCTATTTTACTGATTATGACAAACGCTTACTCACCCAGACCACCCATCCTCATCTCCATCCCTCTCCCGCTCTCTCTCCCTCCTTCCCTCACCACCACACACCATCAACAAACACCATCACCAACAAACACCACCATCAACAAACACCACTACCAACAAACACCATCACCAACAAACACCACTACCAACAAACACCATCACCAACAAACACTACTACCGGCAAACACCACTACCAACAAACACCATCACCAACAAACACCACTACCAACAAACACCATCACCAACAAACACTACTACCAGCAAACACCACTACCAACAAACACCACCACCAACAAACACCATCACCAACAAACACTACTACCAACAGACACCACCTCCTTCCCTGCCTCCCTCCCTCCCCCATCACCAACACACACCAACCTTCCGTCCCTCCCCCCTTCCTCCAACACTCCCACCACCGGTCTACACAACAATCACTATTTCCCTCATTTTTCGTGAAGGGTGAAACTCAAATTTGCTTCACTCCCAAAAATGACAAGTTTCGCCGTTAACGTTCGTACCATTTGGTTGTTTTTCTTTCATATTTGTGTCTTTTTGGTAAAGTTATTGTCTAGTGTTTTGTCTCTAAGATTCAATGATAATATGGAAAAAGTTCATGAGAGATATTATTATTATTATTATTATTATTATTATTATTATTATTATTATTATTATTATTTTTATTATTATTTGTAGTAGTAGTAGTAATAGTATGAATATTATAATAGTTCTTTATCTTATTTATTATGTAAACATTTTCAACAAACCGTTAATCACTTTAATTCATTACTGCAACATAAACGACAAGACAGGTGCGTTCTAACACCTGTCTTGTTAAGTCAAGGAAAAAACTTGACTTACGATCCTCTGGGAATTCTGACCCAAGTTGGCCACAGTTCTTGAGTCTGGCATGAACACAGGTGCCATGAGGTGAGGGGGGTAGAGGGGGAAGGGGAGAGGAAGGGGAGAGGGAGGGGGGAGGGAGGCTGGGAGGAGGGGGGGACAGAGAGAGGGGTAAAAAATAGCATGAATTGTTATGGTGATGACAAACGAGCCGTGACCTCTGAACCTTAAGTCATGAAGGAGGGAAAGTTTGAGAGCCAAGTGTTGTGAAGTGTTGGGAGTAAAGTGAGTTAATCTGAAGGTTAGAGTGTGAGCTGTGAGTCAAGTGTGAGGTGACTTTCTGAGTGGGTGTGTGTGGGTGTATGTTTATGTGCTTTTGTGTACGTGTTTGTGTGAGAGAAAGAAAGTAAAGGGAGAGAGGCAGGTAATGAAGGACAAAAGAAGAGAGAGAGAGAGAGAGAGAGAGCAACAGATGATAAATACTTAAGCCTTACGCCCCACAGTAATTACCATCAACACAGGCTGACTGCAGAAGTTGAATGGCTCTTTGCAATCCCCACTGGCCCTTTTATAACCGGTAAATAGCCAATCATTCCCAGTTTCTCTATTTTTACAGTTAAATGTCCTAGAACTCTTTTTTGGGGGTAGAGTAGGGTGAACCCATGGGGAAGGTGAGGTAGGGGGGGGGTGAGGGGGGTAGAGAGGACACAAAGGGGAAGGTGAGGTGTGTGAGGGGGTAGAGAGTGGACACAAAGGGAAGGTGAGGTAGGGGGAGGTGAGGGGGGTAGAGAGGACACAAAGGGGAAGGCAAGGTAGGGGGGGGAGGAGGGTAGAGAGGACACAAAGGGGAAGGTAAGGTAGGGGGGGGGGTAGGAGGGCAGAGAGGACACAAAGGGGAAGTGCAGGTGTAGGGGGGGTGAGGAGGTAGAGAGCACACAAAGGAAGGTGGAGGTAGGGGGTGAGGGGGGGTAGAGAGGACACAAAGGGAAGGTGGAGGTAGGGGGGGGGGTGAGGGGGTAGAGAGGACAAAGGAAGGCAGGAGAGGGGGGGGAGGAGGTAGAGAGGACACAAAGGGAAGGTGAGGTGGGGGGTGGAGGGGTAGAGGACACAAAGGTGAAGGTGAGGTAGAGAGGGACCCGTAAGACGGGGGGGTGAGGAGGAGAATCCGTATATCATATTCTAAAAAAATTGGTTCATAAGAGGAAAGTTTTTGATATGGGGAAAGTTCTATTTATTTGAAAGAAAGTATGACAGAGAGAGAAATAAAGAGGGGGAGAAAGAGAGATGGTATAAAAAGGTAAAGGGAGACAGAAAGACAGAAGGATTGAGACAGAAACAGACAGAGAAAATAGGAGAGAAAGAGAGAAACGAAAAGAGAAAGGGAGAGAGACAGACAGAAACAGAGACAACGAGAGAGACAGAGAGAGACAAAGAGAGAGTGAGACGAAGATACACATAAAATCCTTTGGTGTGACTTCATCAGTGTGGTGAATATGGATGTCTCTGAGTGTGGGGGAGAGAGAGAGAGAGAGAGAGAGAGAGAGAACAGCAGCAACAGCAGGAGGAGTTTGGCTGTATTGATGTAGTCAGCTGTGTGTGTGGGGAGAGAGAGAGAGAGAGAGATAGAAGAAAGGAAACTGAGGAAAGGGGAGGAAGAGAGAGAGGGAGGAGAGAACAGCAGGAGGTGGAGGAACAGCAGAAGGAGTTTGGCTGTGTTGAGGTAGTCAGCTGTGAAACCTATTCTAAATACATGCTGGCTGGCAGTACAGTACCGTCTGGCTGACTCATGCTAAGGGAGGCCTCACACACACACACACACACACACACACACATACACACACACACACACACACACACACACACACACCTCCTCCCTCTTCCTGTGTTCCATAATTCGAGTCTTTTAAGAAATGAAATCGTTCCCCGACTTCGGTTCTAAGATTATTGCGAGAAAAGATAAAAATACTAGAAAAATAAAAAGAGAGAATATGACAAAATACAACAGAAATATTGGAATGAGTTTAGCTGTGAAAAGTAAGCCTAAATCTGCCTTGTAAATAATGCTTCCTGGACGCTGTAATCCACTCAACACTCAGGTCCTAGAATTTGGGGAATTTCTAAAAATAAATAAATAAATAAATATATAAATAAATATATATATATATATATATATATATATATATATATATATATATATATATATATATATATATATATATATATATATATATATATATATATATAAACTTATCATGTCGAATTTTGTTTCAAAGGATTTTTTTTTGGTAGAGGGAACATGAATATTATCGTGAAATTTATTAGAAAAGATTTTATTTTTTGTCAAAGGGTTTTATTTTTTTAATAAATGAAAAAGATAAAATAATAATTTTTTTATTGTGTTTCCTTTGTGATATTTATTCGAAATTACTTCTTGAGTGACGCGTATTGATAATGTGGGATTAATCCTGACTACTACTGTGATGCGTTGAGAGAGAGAGGGAGGGAGAGAGAGAGAGAGAGAGAGAGAGAGAGAGAGAGAATAGGAATGATTGTCGTGTAAAATTTATTCGAAAAGTGATTCTCAGTAACGCTCGCTAACGAAAGTGAACGACTCTCTCTGACTCAACGGGAGTGAACGAGACTCTCACTTCTCTTACTGAGCGAAAGAAAATGAATTTCTCATTTCTCTCATTGAACGTAAAAGAACGAATCTCTCACTTCTCTCACTGAACGAAAGTAAACGACACTCTCTCCCTCCCCACACTTCTGAAATATCAATGAAACTAAATAGAATAAATCCTAATTTGTATTTGAAAAAAACATTACTGCACAAAGAAACAAAACAATAAATAAATAGTAGTTATTGACTACTTGAGTAACACCTGCTGAAGTAATAACTCGAGTACCATACATTACAAGAGGCGAGGTAAGACAGGTAAGTCCCTCGCCGTCTCTCAGGTCGGAATTTGAGATTATCAAGAAATGAAACAGTTTCGTATTTTGGTTCTGAAATGGAGAGAATATTACGACAGTTGGAATGATTCAATATTTCTTTTTACAAGAGATTTTAGGAGTACAGGGAATATTTTTAGGTGAAAGAAATAACTTGGAATTATAAAAGGGAACATTCATTTCCCGAGCTTAAAATTAAATAAAATGGTATTTAACTTAGCTGTAATATTCGAGTATTAAAAAGGGAATAATCTTGATTAAAAACAGAAACATTGAAACGCCTTGAATGATAAAAGGGGGAATTATCACAACGTTGCCACATTTCACAAAACGCGCCAGCTACTGTACCAGGTGTAGTGCAGCTGACTGAACATAACCACCACGTCTGTCCACCACTCCTGGTCTCTGTCACAAACGCAATTAGGAAAACATCTTCTCTCGGTAAAATTATTCGCCAATGTGCAGTGTTTGAGCCCAGTTGTTTACCCAGCCAACTGCCTCTGCAACAAACATGAAAGTCTGCTCTAACGAATCTTGGTTGTAAACAAGAATATAATTGGAAAGATATAAGCGTCAGGCTGGATCAAAAGATAGTGTTTGGGCTACGGCTTTACCTGTTAAGAGAGACAGACAGACAGACAGACAGACGGGGAAATAATCTAGATATATCATATATTTATGTGTGAGTGTGTATACCTTGCAGTCTTCCTGTATACCAAGTCGGTATACACGCCAGCGAAAATGCACACAGCTTTAAAAAGTGTGGCATTCATTCGTATACAAAGCAAATATAAAAAA